TGGAAACTGAGATGAAGAAATAGATACATAAGAAAAAACTAAACAAGAGCAGCAGTAGCAACAGCAGCAGCAGTAGTAGCAGCAGTAGTAGCAGTAGTAGTAGCAGCAGTAGTAGCAGTAGTAGTAGTACAATCTATGTGGCTATGCAGTTAGCCATAAACCATCTTGATTGATATGATGACTGACACCTTTCCGTCTTTCTAGACATTAGGGTTATATTGCGCTATGAGGAGGCATGGGACTCACAGTCCATGGCGATGCCGAGTGTGACTAGCAAGACCTGAGCACGTTAAGATTAAGTGTCTTCCACAACTATAGCATGGGATTTCAGGACCGTTATGTGTGTTTACAATCTTGACATCTGGAATCTCCAGTGCAGTTTTCCATGTCATAGATGCCGCACTCAGTTCACTTTCCATCGTTCGTCTCCATATTGTTTTTCTCTCTCCCCCTCCCCTGGTGTCCATGTGAGAGCTGCTTTGGCAAGTATATTCGGATTCATTCTCATAACGTGGCCAAGCCATTTCCATCTTCTCTTGGCTATCGTACTGTCTAGAGTTTCTTGGTTTGTTACTTGAAGTACTTTAGTGTTTGAGATTGTATTTGGCCAGAAAATTTTGATAATTCTACGTAGACATGTGTGGTGGAAGGTGGACAGCTTGTGAGCATCTTTTTTGGTCATTCTGCAGCATTCCGCTCCATAGAGAAGAACTGGCAAAATGATGCTTTTGTAGAGTCGGAGTTTCGTTCCTCTGCAGTAATTGTTGGATTTCCAGATTTGCCTCATCCTTCCAAAAGCAGCTCTAGCTTTGTTCAGGCGTGGCTGTATGTCTTCCTCTGTCCCTCCCAGTAGGGACACCACACTGCCAAGATATGTGAAATGTTCTATATTTTCAAGTTTTGGTTAATTATGGACACTGGTTGTTGGTTTGGACTGTTTGCCATGATCTTAATTTTCCTTGTATTTATTCTCAGTCCCAACATTTCTGCTGTGCTGTGTAGTCTGTTACTTTTCTAGGAGTCCTATATCATCTGCAAAATCAAGATCCTCAAGCATGGTGAATGGAGACCATGTTATTCCTCTTGATATCTTGTCTACTATGTTCTCTAGTATCCAGTCAATCATAAGGTTACAAATGAGGGATGACATAATACATCACTTTCTTACATCTGTAGTTCCTGGAAAAGATGTGTTGTATTTTTTTTTATACTGCATGAAACGTCTTTATAGAAGAGAGCAATTATGCTATCTTTTCTGGATTTCAGTAATGTCGTAATTTTTTCCAGAGACTTCTCTAGGGACGCTGTCAAAAGATTTCTCGAACTCCCCAAAATTAATATATATACTTCTTTGCCAATCATTGCATTGTTCAATAATGTTACGTAGGGTGAAAATGTGCTCAGCTATTCCTCTGCCATTTCTGAATCCTGCTTGTTCCACTCGAAGACATGTATCTACTCCTTTTTCAGGTCTAATTATGATGATTTTACAAAATATTTGGGGGGGGGGGGGGGGGAGGATTTGGATTATTGTTCCTTTAGTCCAGTCATCAGGCAACACTTCTTTCTCCCAAATATCTATGAACAATGGTTCGAGAATGCTAGCAGTTGTGTTGGGATCCACTTGGAGAATTTCTGCTGGCAGTTCGTCTTTGCTTTGTTGTTCTTTAAAGTGTGGATAGCTTTAAAGATTTCCTGTTTGCTTGATTGTTTAATAATAATGCCAAGGTCCTGAGTTGGAACTAACCTCATTACCTTACACTAAAAATAGTCTTTTATACAGTTATTTCCCTTAGATTATTTGACATTCTCTATGCAACATGTTAAACGTAAATGACCCCCTTCAAGTGTTCAGGTGTACTGGGCAAAACCTGCCAAACCTATATTTTTTAGACCAATCCACACTCTATGTGAAGTGGTTAACATCGTGTCGGTCGCATTTACTTCCAATGAATTTAGCTGGTACCCATTTGTGGCTAAGATTAAGATCAATTTTTTTTCTTTAAAAAATAAATCGTTCTCCGTCGGGACCTGAAGCGACGACTTTTAGATCTTCAGGCGAGAGTTTAGCCCCTACACCACGGTGGCGTCTAACAGCGCTATGGACACATGGTTGCAAGATTAAAAAAAAACAAAAAACCTTCGTTATAAGCTAAATGACCACCCAAAATACGCCAGCAAAAAAGCCAAACAAAATGTAACATGTTACCAACTTCACATCAAAAGCTCCAGATTGAACTCCTGACTGTCATCCTCATTGGAACAAATGAAAGATACAGCGTAAACCTTTTCAGATGTAAAATCTTTAAGTATTTTCTCAGATGGGGTGAAGTCTTTGCAACATTTGTTTGGTAACAATAGTTCGGCTCTAATTCTCTCAGCTAGATCAAGAAAATCTAGTTGTATTTTGTAGTGCGGGCGATATGATTTTTTTTCAATTATTATACACGAATATTTAGTTCTATGCAACTGTATGTGCTCCAATGTACTCCCCCGACCATGCGCTCTCGTGATTTCACTTAGATGATCAATTGTGCGTATTGCACAATGGCAGGTCATGCCTACAGCAAGTTGCAACTCTGCTGCCTTTAACTTTATCATTACTTTGCCTAGGACTCATTGCTTTAGTAAGCTGTGATTGACTTTTTGACGGAGTGTTCATTCCGTGTTTTTCTGATTTTTCATGATTTGATATGATACCAATTCTTGGTGCAACAGTGCACTGACACAGTTTACAATATGCTGCCTCTGATCAGTCTAAAGATCTTTTTAGCCGTGGGTGTGTTGTCTTCTAATTACTATTATACTTGCGATTGCGGTCATAAGATACTTTCCATTTTTTTTTATTAATCACGTCGCCATTGGTAAAAGTAATAAAATCTACCACAGATAGAACTAGGTCTTTACCATCTATATTTTCTATCCTCAAGTAGTTTTCGAACAGTCTGAATCACTTGGTGTCAGTGACGGGTTTTGGTTTTATATCCCGCATTTATTGTAGTAAGTTAACATTTTTCTCTCAGTAAACTCCAACCACCAGCACAGATAAGTCTTCCAGGCTACGTGACTCCGAACTGCATGAAGTGTGAACGTGCGATGGTTTATCCGTGACCTGCTTTAAAGTAAGTAAGTAAAGGACCCTTTTCCACGCCTTTAGGCGGATAGGGCATATAGGGCTAGACCTATAATTTATATACCAGTTGGCATAAGATAGGTGATGTGGATAGCATCTCGCTGGCTGCATTTACTTCCCGGGTTTGCACCCGGTACCCACTCAAGGCTGGGTCTACCTGGGAGCCAAGGTCATTTTGAAAAAAGTTAGGGAGCAAACCCACGACCTTCCGATCCGTGACGTGCGTCTAGCCACGGCGACTCCCACCACCTGCTTTATTATAGTTAAATAACAGAGGGCCTTAGTTTAAAGCAGCCGAGATCTGTTTACGAAGACAATATTTCTACACAGATGCTTATACGAATCTCCTTTAGTCCGTGTAACAGCCGTACCATGACATCACAACAAAGACAAACTGAAATAAAGATGTTAACTGTAAACCTTCATTGCGTGAAGTAAATTAGCATGTTTCTCACGGAGGGCATATGAAGAAATGGTGAGCACGTCTTGTTTAGAAAAGCCAGGAAATCCCCAAACGCACCAAAATACGCCAGTTCATTGTCTTAGGCCAGCTTGATTTCAAATACGCCAAATTTGTTTAATCTAATTTAAAAAAAAACCAATATGGCAACCCTGTATGGAAATATTGAAATAAAACATGTGACGTAACATTTACTTAACCTGGATGTGTAGCCATTCTGCTACTTGAGTAACTCTACCTAAACTGTTTAAACTGAAAGTGGGCGAATGAGCGAACGAGTGAATGAACGTATCTGATACTTAAAAGCACTGGAGCCACTGCGGTGTAGTGGCTAGATGCTCGCCTGCGGATCAGAAGGTCGTGGGTTCGGATTCTGAAGGAGCCGGACTTTTCTCCCCCCCCCCCCCTCTCCCGCCCCCAAAAAAACTTTGGCTCCCAGGTCGACCCAGCCTTGAATGGGTATCAGGCGGAGTTCTGGGAAGTAAAAGCGGCTGGAGTGTGATGCCACATCACCCAGCACGTGTCGACTGGTCTATAAAATATAGGTCTAGCCCTATATGCCTAATACGTCTGAAGGCGGGCACAAGGTTCCTTTATATTTTGGGCACGTAGACCTGTCTTATATTCGGCCCCTTCACTTAACTTTCACATTGTAATTCTTTTTAATGTATATTGCATATTGCGATCACAAAACAATGTGTATAATATGAATATCGAGTAAAATACAGAAAAGCATGGGTTGTACATGCACAAAGATGCAGACACAAACAGACGCACGCACGCACACATCTACATACCTATATACATAAAAATATACACATGCTTGCATATATACTATAACGTAAAAACACTCACTCGCCCATTCATACACGCCACACTCACACATCCCTTTATTTACACCATCTTATATACACGCATATATAGACATATTCAAAAATACATTAATTTAATTCACAATATAAACACACTCATACATATACCTACGTTGATACGCACGCACACACACAAACAACACATGCTTTCATAATTATCATACATACACGTATACATATTTAATACCATACTCACACATACATACACATGCAGACGGACATGCGTACAAACCTACAATACATTCATGCATACACAACAGACACGCTCAAATGGGAATTGTAAGGCATTCGAAACGGCAAGACTGGAAAGACTAATGGTAGAAAAGGCAGACCAGACAGACGATGTTTGGTAGAGTGAAGTGATTTCGTGGAGGAATATCTTCTGTGAAATATCAGGGACGGAGGTCCTGCGGATAAGCAATAGTATACACTGCCTGCCAGGACACTTGATGATGATGATGATGATGATGATGATGATGATGATGACAACACGGCATCGATAAATTACGAGATTTTACATTTACATTGGTAACTATTATAGATATTTTTTTTTTTTTTTTCCCGTATTTTGTATACAAAACTTGTATTTGCCATTCAAGATCATATCCATATATGCACAGTCCACTAGGTCATCCTTCTTGATAGACAATTTAGACATGATATCCTCTGCAATCTTACGACCATCTTCTACTGACTGAGCATCCTCCAACATCACCTCAAGTTCCATAAAAAGACCAAGGTCATGCACATGGTCAAGATGAATCCTTGTCTGGCCCAGCAGGATCAGTACACGAGACTTCCTAACCACACCTCTAATGCCCAAAGCCTTCGTCAGCAAAACCTTCATTGATTCCACATCATCAACAATGGCAGTGTTGAAGTCTGACAACTTGGGTCCCTGCTGGTCTGGCCTGTTGTACTGTATCAGCATTGTTTTTTCTCCCGTAGCTTGTCTCAGCTTTAAGCGTCCACTGGGAACGTTAAAAAATGTATCCTCCTGCTCAAGAAGAGTTCCATTAACTCCAGGCAGTATTCTTGCTCTTGCTTTCAAATCTTCCAGATCTGCTACTTTTGCTTTGATCTCCACATTGCGAGGCATATTTGATTATTTATTATATATGATTGTTTTAACAACAGCCCGCCCTGCGACATGTTTCGCTTCGTACCTACTATTATAGATATAGTTAAAAGAAGATAATTTTTTCCCTTTTGTGGAGTGTCGAGTTTTGCATCACACACTGTTGTCACCTTAATGTCTTTCCAGACGACAGGATTATCTTGTGGTATGGACAGGTATTCGAATTACAGCCATTTAAGAGTCATGAATAACGTTATTCCTCTCTATAGCACAAAGCCTGGGTTGTATTGTTGAGACCATATGTTTTTTATGCAAAATGTGTCCCTTCTCTGCATGCCTTGTTTACTCCAAAGGAAACGTAACACCAACATGTTTAGAAGAAAGCACGCTGCTGAAGCTGCCGGATCAGAAGAGTTGTGTTCCCTTTGTTCGCCTGTCAGAACTTCTTTCTCAGACCAGCGTCCAGACATGGCTAAGGCTGATCTGCTCTCTCGTAAAGTTAGGTTTTTATGTTGTATGTCTACTTCCTATGATAAGGTAGCATCTTCCTCAGTGCGCTTCTCGTACGAAACCGTTTATAGACCGTGGGATGTACATCACACATAATCTTCGTGTAAAAATTCGTCTTCTTTTTCTATTTGTAACACGTTTGTCCGTAGACAGGTTAATTTATTTGATCTGAATCTTCCACTGTTTGAAACAACGTATCGTTCCCGTGTTGTGAATTCTGTCTCCGTACTCCCTTCTGCATTGCTCTCTTCTGAGTTTGGATCGTACGAATGTCCATTATACTGTTGTTCATATATCACATTGTTGTCACATCCACTATTATTGTGAAGTTTATCTTGGACAATCAAATCATAATCCCCGATAACCACAAGTTTGTGGACAGCTCGTTCACCATGATTGAGGCTGTTGTCAAGGTCACCGCTGTTACGATTACTGCTCCCACTGTCGTAAGACGAAGTTAACCGATCGTGTTTCTGAAATGACGCCACATTTGCTCGGGCCAGAGACAGCACTTGATGGCTCTTATACGGAAATGGATATTTCTTATCACTGTCTGAAGTTGTGGGACTTGTACTTTCGTTTTCATGATCGTCTGTTTCTGAATTTTCGTGGCACGGGTGGTTTTCTGGGCGACCGTTTGTTTTTGGTAAGTCACTGTTACCTTTTTGTCTTCGTATTACGCTAAATATACTACTGAGAGATGTCTGTCGTGATTTTGTTTTGTGTAACTTGCATGATTTCGATTGATTCATTCTTGCTTGATTAATTTGAGGAAAATCACCTCGAATATTGGAACGTTTAAAAACGTCCGAAGATGTTTCAGCATGTGACATATTCAATTCGGAATTAAACCTGTCACGAAATCTTGATTTTAAATCCCCATGTTTTAATCTGACCCTATCAAAGCCTGTCTCACGTAGGCAGGTGATTTCTTCACCATTTGATGATTCTGAACGCTTTCCTAAAATTGAAGGTACACAAGAAACTGTGGCGGTGTTGTCATTAACTTTGTTTACTGGTTTAGAATAACCCTCACCTTGAATGACTGTGTTTAGACTAACAACGTTGTCCGGATTGATATTTCTCAAGTGTCTATTGCTGTCCAAGATTCTATCACTTGATGTAGTGACAATGTCGGACACTTCTGCTAATAAAGTATTTACTCTCTGAATAGTATCACTATCCACACGCATTCTTTGCCCGACTCCACTTAACCCGGAAGTGCAACCATCACGACTGTGGGAGCGCTTAGAATTCTCCTCAAAGAAATTCATGGAAGAATCTTTGCTAGTCTCCATGTCTACTAATGTCAACAAATCGATGACAGCTTCCGTTTCTTCATTAGACACGCCCACGTCAGATGAAACATGGCCCAAGTTAAATTTATGAATAATTGAAGTTGATGGTATGGGTAAATGATTCAGGGACGAAGCACAGTTTGCGTCCCTATCTGCTGAACCGTTTAGTTTCCTTATGCTGGTTTCTGTATCATTAGAAGTTCGTGTGTGGATATATCTGTTACCGGTAATGTTAGTCGTATTTGATAGATGGTTGTCTTCATGGGTGTAATTTTCTTTAGGTATTCCAGAAGGTTCGGATATTTCAGAACTATTATCGCTGTCAGAGCATTGCTCTTTATCTTCTTCTACAGAGTCATCGTCTTCATCCTCATCATCATCATCATCATCATCATCATCATCATCATCATCAACACAATCATCATCACTGTATTCTCTGGCAGTTCTGTAAGCCACCCTGTTGTAATGATTCAACTCACCACCATGTTCTTCACTAGAGCCACAGTTGTTAATATTTGCAGAAGCTGAGCCAGTATCTTTGGTCTTCTCGGCTGCCTCCGTCACCTTTAATTCTCTTTCAGTCTTTTCGTTTGACGCCGGTTCAAACAGGTAGGACAGTGGATTGTTTGCTTCCGTCCGTGATGAAGTTGCTTCCGGGCGTTGTGTAAAGAGGTAACCAAGTGGATTTGCATGATCTTTATAAAAGTTCACATTTTCTTTTCGACAGTCATCTGACGGACTTTCATCTTCAGATTCTGTTGGATCTTCGTCTGTAGGTTCTGTTGGATCTTCGTCTGTAGGTTCTGTTGGATCTTCGTCTGTAGGTTCTGTTGGATCTTCGTCTGTAGGTTCTGTCGGCTTCCATGGATTCTGTTCTGGGTGTCTCTGAAAGAAATAGAACAAGGGGTTATCGGTGACACGATTTCCGTGTAACGAACCGCTATCCAAACTTGCTCGATTTCCGTCAAGCTCCACTGCTGTGTCACTGTCTTCAAGTTCCACACACGCTTCACTGAACTCTTGCTTCATTGATACCTCACCGACTATAGCAGTCGACTCCATCATACCTTTCTTCAGCATTAATTTCACAATTTCCTTTTGTGTGAAACTCTGATGCTGGGGTATCTCAGGTTCCTCAGCCTGAGTATAAACTGGACTTTGGTCATCTGAAAGGGAATCAATCTCAATGGGATCTGCTGTGTCCATCATTGGTTCAGCTGGCGATCTAATCTGCCTGACAGCATCCGGCAGAGGAAGACTGCTGGACAGCAAGAGAAGCTTAGCTTTCCTATGAGACCCCCATCTGATATCAAATTCTGAATTGGCTTCAACATCTTGCATATCACTAGTACTTTCAGACGTAGAAACATCAACAGCACCGGTATCTGAAACTTCAGGCTTCAGGGTAAATGCAACTTTGATTTTTGTAACGAATTTTGCGCCAAAATTTTCGCACATTTGAAAAGCACTGGTGTATTCACATGTCTTCTTTACCGCAACTTCATTGAGACCCAGTCGGAATTTTACGCACGAATCTGTGATCAGCTCGAGGCATCTAGAGCCTGGATCTTCAAGAGTGGCTGCAAGTATAGTCTCTTCACTGAACACACTGTAGCACCTGATCATTCCCGTGAAGGCATAATCCAACAATGGCGGATCTCCGTGAATTAAAGTTAGTATTCGTGGCAGTTTAGAGTTCCCAGCTTCAACCAGAGAAGACAGCTGGAACACCCTGGATTCCTCGTCAGGATACGTGTCACCAACTTCATAAGATAACGTCGCGTAAGACAGCGGGATCACCACGTCTTCATCCTTCTCATCCAGGCACTCTAGGCATGGCCCGTGCCGCTTAACTAGATCCGGACAATCTGGGTCATCAGGGTCGGAGTCTAAAACACAAACGCGCCTGAGAATATCTCCGGGCAGGACGTCATGCGGGATGTAGCGGAGACCATCGTCACATCCATGGCTTGTTGTGAAGGCTGGACATTTTGTTGTGACTAAAAACCGCGTGACAGTTGAGTTGACTATACTCTCAATCCGGAAGTGACGTTTCGCCTTGCTGATGCCTTTAGGGGCTGCTCCAAACCAGCCTGTTAGATACATATATTAATATTATTAAATATATAATTTAATCCATAATTAAATATATAATATAATAAGACTGAAAATATTATCTGCTATCAACCATTCCAAGTGATCAATGAATCAGCATGTATTTTACAGAACGTCGCTCTCTTTACGGTACTCATGACAGTAGCTCTTTTACTGGTCAATTCTCCAGCCCGGTGTGCTTTCATAACTAATGCATCTTTAATGTCCTGTATCCACCTTTGTGGATGTCAGCTCCTGCCTCGTTTACCGGAAACTGTGCCCTCCATTACCGTTCTTCCCAGACCACCGTAGCCCATGCCCAATATACCTAACACTTTAGGAGAGGATGCTGTTTACGAGCCGGTTCTCCCGCATGATGGAGATTGTAATTCAATAACCTCCTTATCCAAGGTTTGCTTTAACATGAACAAGATGGGTTTTTCTTATTTTTTCTGTGTTAATCCTCAACTATTAGAGTTCTAGACGGGTGCTGTTACAATAACTCGTTAAATGATAAGAAGCTGTTACTTTATGTAACAGATGCTTAAGTCCGAGAGAATTACAGTAATAAGGCAATGTCGGGAAAGAGTTAAATTATAAGTGGCAAAGTTGGTTAATATAACAACTGCAGGGGGTACAAGAAAGCAACGATCAGATAAATATAATTAAAGTACCGCAAGATACGTTGCTTGGTACTGAAACAGTTAAAGGGCGGTTGGCTCGTTGCGGTTTACAGTTAAGCAGCGATAACTATACCATTCGATCCAACACCGTCGATTGAACAAAACTTCTAATTAGTCGCCTTTTACGGCATGTTTGTTAGGGAGCAAGGCTTCTCCATCCGGAAACAGGGCTCCAATACCCACTGGCAGAAATGGGATCAATCTAATCGTACCAGCAATGACTCGATTTCTTCCCAGATCCACTAGTCTTCTTCTTTACGTTCTCTTATACCACTTCGAGTGTCGAGGGAGAAATAAGTTCCCGGTTCTTGCCCTTCTGGCTGCTTCAACCATGGACACATCCTGGTGCTGTTGAGATTTCTCTGATTTTCTTTCCATCTTGTTCTTGGTCTACCAAGTAAAGGATTGCTAGGACTGGGCGAAGTATGGTGTGGCCTTGTGCCACGGGACCTCTACGGTAGCCATGCAGGCCATTCTGGGTTAACCGAAACGTCCTGGCCAACGGGGCTCTGGTGAAGTTGCGACAGGCCTAGCAAGCCGGCAATGGATTTACTATCGCTACAACAAATCCACTAGTCACCCGCCTAAAGTGTCGTACAAATCACGAAATCTGTAATTTCAGCTACAAATACAAAAGAGTTTAAAAACACGTGCATTAGAGATCCGACCGGTGAAGTCAGAATCAAGAACCAAACAGACAACCTTTAGAGCGAGAGGCAAACGATTAGTCAGCCACTTACTTCCTTTAACTATACGAGTCCCACACAACGTGCCGTGTGTGACTGTATTGTCTCCGTAAATTTAAACCATTGTGTAATGTCTCATCTAATTAATTACGTTTGTACTGCGCCACAGTTTTGACGAAACAGTGCCAGGTCACTGGCTTCACAATTGTTAAGTCGACAGGATCCACCAACTGCACCGGGATTTATCCCTTACGGCTCAGTCCCTCTCCACAGAACGGCTAGCCGCCTGCCGAGAGCCTCGCTCAAAGCACAAACGCCGTAACTTCAGCACTAACGACGACTACAATGATACCGGATGATAAGATAAAATGCAATAATCATGGTGTTGGGAATGTGACAATGGATTCAATTTTATAACAATTTTGTGCGTGTGCTTTTTTAGGATTACAGTCTGTAGGATTAACATCTCAAGGGTGAGAATCAAACGGGTACCAATTCGTGAAATCCCGTTCAACGGTAAAGCCATTTAGCACAGTTATACATGGGTACCACAAAACGGTTATCAAATGACCCGTAGTCCAGTGTTCTCCAACTTCCGCCGCTCCCCTTGAGTATATGGCAGGAAACTACACAACCACAACCCCCCATCATAACAAAGTGTGATCAAAACGGGGATGACAAAAAGAAAAAAATAATCCTAAGCACTGTTAACAAAACTTGGAGAGAAACATCCCTAAAACCCAAGCATTGTTAGCGAGAACTTGGAGAGAAACATCCCTAAATCCCAAGCATTGTTAGCGAGAACTTGGAGAAAAGCATCCCTAAATCCCAAGCACTGTTAACGAGAACTTGGAGAGAAACCTACCTAAATCCCAAGCACTGTTAACAAAACTTGGAGAGAAACATCCCTAAATCCCAAGCACTGTTAACGAGAACTTGGAGAGAAACATCCCTAAATCCCAAGCACTGTTATCGAGAACTTGGAGAGAAACATCCCTAAATCCCAAGCACTGTTAACAAAACTTGGAGAGAAACATCCTTAAATCCCAAGCACTGTTAACGAGAACTTGGAGAGAAACGTACCTAAATCTCAAGCACTGTTAACAAAACTTGGAGAGAAACATTCCTAAATCCCAAGCACTGTTAACAAAACTTGGAGAGAAACATTCCTAAATTCCAAGCACTGTTAACGAGAACTTGGAGAAAAACATCCCTAAATCCCAAGGACTGTTATCGAGAATTCGGAGAAACATCCCTAAATCCCAAGCACTGTTAACGAGAACTTGGAGAAACATCCCTAAATCCCAAGCACTGTTAACGAGAACTTGGAGAAACATCTCTAAATCCCAAGCACTGTTAACGAGAACTTGGAGAAACATCCACTAAATCAACGTCTCCTACAATAAAATAAACAATTACCGACAACTGGTAATTTGGTGTGATGGCTGAAACTGTTTTGTCTTGATGATATCTGCTATTTTTGTTTTGATGTTGGACAAGGCACACGGATATCACTCTCCACATCAAGCTGGCAGCGCTGTTTTGTTTTTTACGACTGCTAAAGCTGAAAATCTGGATTTCAAGTATAAATGCACGCAAGTTCAAATCTGTTTGTCGCCCCGTCGGAAATGTCCTCACGTACCATCTAATTTTAGACAGCACTGCTGGAGTTCAGTGTACGTAGATCGTGAACGAGGGATTACAAGGAATGATATCTGAAAGACTGAAAAGCGAAGAACGGAATGGAGGTTAAGATTACGAATCCGATTTAGCGTATAAAGGCATAATAGCATGACGATGACGACCTAGCACACCAAATGGTTGTTACACATCACAGAATTCCCTTTGTGTCTGCGTCATCACATAGACATTCAAGCCACGCCTATTTCCAACTGTAAGCAACTATTCTAAATATATCAGGGGACAAAAACAGCATCGGCTGACATATTTATGCAAAATAAAACGCTGGGGGTAAAGAAAACAAGGCAGAAGGAATGTCGAGGCAATAGTACACACTTTCTTGGGCTGCAAAGAGAAACTAAGGGACGTAATGTGTTGTAAGCGGGTAGAGTTGTCTTCCCAAACACGTATAGACTGTTGAATACAACACAGTACACCAAACCGGGCATATTCAGATCCCATACAGACATCAATTTCTATGGACGTCGCTCAATACACCTTTAAAATGAAAGGTAAAAGTCAAGACGATTGACTTCATTGCACAGAGCTTTACCCATATAGCTCGGTCTCTCTCCATAGAACGGCTAGCGTTACACAAAGCACAAACATCATAGCTCCGGCCGCGAGTCCCAAAGATCTCTGTAAAAACTGCGCTCGTAAACCAAACGCTCCACTTCGCCATGAAGACTATACTAACCCATAGAGCAGCAGTTGACCTCGTGACCTTTGAGATGTGTAGACCAGTGATCTTCAAACCCCCCCCCCCGCCTCCCTCCCACACCCGCACAACGCCCCTCCACCTAACATAACAAAACATGATTACAAAGAGAACAATAGACTCCGCAACAAGAGCAACAAATTATGGAGAAACTTTTGATCAGAATGTGTTCTTGTTCAATAATTAAATGAGCGTGTTGTCATATTAATTAGATGTTCAAAGGTAGATGTACAAACTGCTCAGAAACACAAAAGTGTCATTGTAATTTCGTTAATAGTAAAGTAAAAATCCCTTTTCATGCCTTAGGCGCATCGGGCATATGGGAAGAGCTTCCCATATTTTTACAGACAAATCGGCACTGGGTGGGTAATGTGCACAGCATTACGCCGGCCGTCTTTACTTCTCTAGGACGGCCATCCTGGTAACCATTTGAGCTGGGTCAACCTGCGACGACCCATACCATGATAAAAATCCATGCTGCCAGCAGTGGGTTTAGATCGCGGTATGTTGGAATTACGAGTCGGACTCGCAACACCACGGACGCCGCTCAAATCGTTTATAAATACTTTTGAAACAATATGTTATTTAAAATCAAACTGAAACAACATGTTGGTATAACGGATTATCACACATAGAAATGCGCTGACTTTCAACATTACTCCACGCCCCTCCATGGAACCACCTTGCGCCCCCCTCCACTGATAGGGTGCCTCTGCCGCCCCCGAGATTAGAGGTCACTGGTATAGAACCTTTTGCACTAATGGCGCTTCTGGTGTGTGATAACAGGCTCGTGTTCAATAAATGCCGGTCGCCTTTACTTCCTGGTACCCAGTTTAGGCTAGGTCATATGAGCCCTAGGACCATTTAAATTTTTCTTGTTTATATTTGTAGTACTGTAGATTTATGTATGTGCTGACGAAGGCTCTCTAGCCGAAACATTTATTTGTCGTTTACGTTTGTGATAATGCAAAGCTGACTGGTTCGTCTTTTCATCGGCTTACTTTCTTTTCATAATAGTTATATACATCCACACCTTTCGGAATCGAACCCGAGATCTTTGGGTCAGTAGACAAACGTATAATCTCTGCTCTACCCTTTGGCTGGTTGTGGCCAAAGATAATGAATTTAGATCCACTGGTGACACGTCCTGTGAGATTCGATAGGTCCCGTTATCGCTTCCCTAATATGCGGTATGTTATATTTATATGTTTATTTTGGCTAGACAAGATTGTGTTGGGCTAGAATAGAATACATGGATTAAAATATACGCCCGCTTTCAGCTCAGTAAGTTTTTCCATCAGAGGCGAAAGAGGATACACACAACTGTGAAATATTGTGCGCCTGTTGCCTTGACAGAAACGACACTTAACACCTTGTATAAAAATACCGTGTTACGTTTTAGAATATATAGCGGACACAAAAGAATGGAATGGGAGCAGGCAAGAAAGCAGACGCGTATAGATAATTTGCGGACGGACTGGCTAACATCTGAAGTCACCAAATATATAAGGCCGATCACAGAGATGAAGGGAACCTCAGAATGAACTTTCAGAGGACTAGAATCTGGAGAAGAAGAAGCCAGCCTCAACCCATCCCCCTCCCCCTTTTTCCTTCCATGCTGACCTTACTCAGAGTTGTATGGAACTGGAGAGGAACTCCACCTCCCCCCCCCCCTCCCCCGAAAAAAACGCAGTTGTACCAAATGAGCTAGGCCCAAATATGAAACAAGGAATTGCCTGTTGTACATTGCTTAATATATGAGAATAGCTAAACAAACATATGTGTTGTTGGGAATAAAAACTGTCTGCTTCTGGTCTGGTAAGAGTTCGTTGTCCAACATCACAACTATTGTAGTCACAAATAACTTTAGATCCACTGGTTACACGTATGTGGCAATTTTATAGACAGCGCTGATAGTATCAAGTCTTTTATAATCATCATAAAAATCTTTTGTGTCATTGGGGGAGGAACAAAAAAAGGGGGGGGGGGGGCATTGAATAGGTTCGTTGTTGGTATTTTTTATTTTTTATAGGGTGGGAACATGTTTTCTGTAACATTATTCGCAGTTCTTACACAAGTATTCTGCAGTATTTGGTCAAACCTTTGGTTGTGTTGTCTAGGCTGGGCCAGGCCGTTTGATTTGGCTAGCCTTAACGGTCCTGCAGGCTGGGCGATCAGCACACCTGGGTTAAATTATAGTGGACCAGATACATTGTCAAACAACCTAGACAAGAGCGGGGTGGGACATATTGTAGTAACAAGAAAATTAAATTGTCTTGTGCCAAATAAGCTTACATAATATAAATCATGCAATAGAATAGGAGAGACTAGATTATATTTTATAATTTAGTCCAACTTAATCAGAAACAGTTCTAAACTAGACCTGGGTGGAGTGATGTAAGGGTAGACTACTCTTCCTAGAGTAAAATACATCAGGTACAGCGTAGACTGGACTGATCAGACTTCACTGGAAAATGTACACAAGATTAGACTATGCTAAATAATATTTCACTAAATTATATTATGTTGGGAGGAGAAAATAGCAAGATTAAAATATATACACTAATATCGTGACATGTTTCTTCCATAAATCATCATCAGCATGTGCCCTGCCAACTGGCGTAGGCACTCATGCATCTCCACAGATCACGATCCCTGGTTGCCTGGAACAGCTCTTTTGATGATCTCTCCCCATGCTATCGTTTCAGCCCATCCAACATCATCTCTCTTGGTCTGCCTTTACACTCTTTCCCACTGATCTTTCCAGTTGTCACGATGTTCTCCAATGTCTCTCTTCTCATTACGGGGCCAAGAAACAGTGTTTTGTCTTGTTCTTTTTTGTTGTTGTTGTTGTTGTTGCATATAGAGATCTTCTTTCATGAGCATCTTTCAAACAAAGGTTAGTTACTCTGGCCGTCCAAGGTGATTGAAAGATACTACACTTTAAAACCCCATAACAAAGGACAACGTTGAAGTCATGTGTGCAAAAGGCTGACCGACATACAAGATGGAGGATAATATCAATAGATGGACGAACAACAGTCGGAGAGAGTGTTCATTTAAAAGGAAAAACAAAGCATGTCGGCGATTGAATGCAGCCAGTCTTCATTTTGGAAACGGTCCCTGATTGACTGGATGATTGATTGATTGTCTGATACCACACACACACACACACGCTCACATAATATCTACCAACTACACTGATGCTGCTGTAGATTTATCATAAGATGAAATAATGTACACTCGTTTCAGTAAGCTCACCTTCATAGTCTGCGGGGATGGCAAGTGGTGGACCAATCTCCTCTATGACGTCATTAGTTTGCTTTAGACTGACCGCATGGACCTTCTGTACTGACCTCTTGCTGTACAACAACAGCGGCTGTTTCAGGTCAAACAAAAAATCTGACCACACCACGGTGCATGAATCATCTGTAGACAAAGAAAGTATTGTCAGAATTGTGCATCTTTGCTAGGGAAAAAAAGATAGTTCAACGAATATACCTGAAGTGGGAGCTTTACGTTATAATTGTGACTAGGTTATGTGTGCCATATACAGGGGCTTAGCATTGCTCGCTACTAAGTAGCCCTGAAAAGGACTTCTACAGTGTTTCTGCGATCAAAGGAGAGAGACCTAAATACTTTTCCGACGGACGACTGTCGTCTTCCGGGGAGTCAGTGGACGATCCTGTCGCCGATGATGTATCTAAGGGCACTCGGGACGTGCGATTACATGCTCTGTCTCCTCGAGAAGAAGTGACTGACTAGGGGTGCCTATAGTTCCTGTGACCTTCTGGTTCATCATTATGTAGACTATTATATAAACTATACCACAGGGCATCCCTGGAGTATTTTCTGAATGCCCAGTTGCGCCTAAGAGTATTTCCTAATTTACGATATAGCACAGATGCCAAAATTGATAATGATTTTTGACATGACATACCACTCATATAGCAGATACCGGGGCTAAACTTCCGAAGAAAGTATAATTAGGGCAAGTATAACTGGCCCCACAAGCCTGGTGTAACCTGCAGTCCTGTGTGCGTTAGGATGTTTGGCTGACGATCTGAACTAGGACTTATATAGGGTGACCAAACAGTCGTCGTGAACTATACGTACACACATTCTCATGACGTGGCACACAATGTGTGCGTGTGTGTATATATATATATATTATGCACAATGACTATTTTGGACATCTTATATTTGGGTTAGTGTTTATATTGTGAATATCCTGAAACATCACCCAGGGGGTTTAAATTATGAGCATCCTAAAACATCATCTCAGGGCTTATATCATGAGTATTCCGAAACATAATCCCCAGGCTTATATTATAAGTATTCTGAAACATCATCACAAGGTTTATATTACAGGTATCCTGAGACATCAAGCCATTGCTTATATTATAAGTATCACGAAACGTCATCGAAGTGCTTATAAGTATCCTAAAACATTATCACAGGGCTTATACTATAAGTATTCTGAAACATCAACACAGGGCTTATATTACAGGTATCCTGAAACATAATCCCAGGGCTTATATTACAGGTATCCTGAAACATAATCCCAGGGCTTATATTACAGGTATCCTGAAACATAATCCCAGGGCTTATATTACAGGTATCCTGAAACATAATCCCAGGGCTTATATTACAGGTATCCTGAAACATAATCCCAGGGCTTATATTACAGGTATCCTGAAACATAATCCCAGGGCTTATATTACAGGTATCCTGAAACATAATCCCAGGGCTTATATTACAGGTATCCTGAAACATAATCCCAGGGCTTATATTACAGGTATCCTGAAACATAATCCCAGGGCTTATATTACAGGTATCCTGAAACATAATCCCAGGGCTTATATTACAGGTATCCTGAAACATAATCCCAGGGCTTATATTACAGGTATCCTGAAACATAATCCCAGGGCTTATATTACAGGTATCCTGAAACATAATCCCAGGGCTTATATTACAGGTATCCTGAAACATAATCCCAGGGCTTATATTACAGGTATCCTGAAACATAATCCCAGGGCTTATATTACAGGTATCCTGAAACATAATCCCAGGGCTTATATTACAGGTATCCTGAAACATAATCCCAGGGCTTATATTACAGGTATCCTGAAACATAATCCCAGGGCTTATATTACAGGTATCCTGAAACATAATCCCAGGGCTTATATTACAGGTATCCTGAAACATCGCTCCGGGGGGAGGATGGGGGGGGGGGCGTGGGATGAATATCCTGAAATACCACCCCATTGCTTAAATTCAGGTTAGATCTTATTGCCGTGAAATTTTGTGATTTCTTTCAGGACTTCATCAGACATGCTATATGTCAGCGATGTACTTGTCAATAAGCTCCGTGGTGAAGGAGCTAGACGCCCACCTCCAGATCCTAATTTCGTAGGTTTAGGTCCTGAGGGAGCCCGAACTTTTTCCAAAACCAGCTAAGCCTTGAATGGATACCAGGTAAAGTCATGGAAAGTCAAGGCGGCCGGCGTGATGTTGACCACATCATCCACGGAGAACCGACTAGTTTATAAAATATACGTCAACCGCCATATTTTCAAGACGCGGACAAGGGTCCTTTACTTTTTATTTTTATAATTGGGGAAGGACTTATATTACGGGTATCCTGAAACATCACCCAGGGCTTACATTACGGGTATATTGAAACATCACCCAGGGCTTACATTACGGGTATACTGAAACATCACCCTGGACTTATATTACGGGCATATTGAAACATCACCCAGGGCTTACATTACGGGCATATTGAAACATCACCCAGGGTTTATATTACGGGTATACTGAAACATCACCTTGGACTTATATTACGGGCATATTAAAACATCACCCAGGGCTTACATCACGGGTATCACTGAAACATCACCCAGGGCTTACATTACGGGTATCACTGAAACATCACCGAGGGCTTACATTACGGGTATCACTGAAACATCACCCAGGGCTTACATTACGATTATCCTGAAACATCATGCCTGAGCTTATTTTTCGGGTTAGATCTTTTTGCTGGAAAACTTGGTAATTTCTTTCAGACAATCTTCATTGGATATATGATCTATCCACGATGTAGTTGTCATTCTTGTACGAAAGTACACAAGACACATTAGGGATAGTGGGCATTGTTCGCCTGTCAGTAGGATTACCACCTCAAGGAAGAGAATCACACAGGAGCAAATCACAGAAACCCAGGTCAATTGTATGACAACTATCCTGCACCCCTACCGTTAGACAGCAATCTGCAGTCCAACATGAGAGGGGGAAGTTGTTACTTCTTCTGCTATGTTTGTCTTTAAAGAGGCGGTTGGTACGTTGTGTTGCGCTTTACAGCTGGGCTGCGATAAATGCGCCTTCAAGCCCAACAAAAAGACATTTTTTCACTCTTCATATAGGGCTAGACCTATATTTTATAACCCAATGGGCACTAGATTAGTGATTTAGTCAACATCATGCCGAAGCCCAACATAACAAACCCCTATGTTTTCGCCTTTTACGACATGCTTGCTGAGGGTAGTGGGTCTATTCCCTCTCCCTAAAATGGGATCCTGGAACCCACATGGCCAGGACACTTTGATCTGTACATGACACATAATTCTCACCTGTTGCACACTGAACCACACAGGGAAGCTTAAACTTCTTGAGAATCTCGGCAACAGTGTATGTCTGGTTACTCCATTTATAGGGCACAACGGGAGAGGCCGGCACCCCCATTTTCTGGGTGGTACCGCCCAGCTTTTTGGACAGTCCCATGTTAG